CCTTTCTGCTCTAGAATGGTCGTTGTGGAACGGAGAACAACCTGTCTTTGCTCATTCAGATGCCCCTGTTTGGATCCCTGTGGATCCGGCTTTCTTCCGTCCCTCCTTGGGAATACGATATAAACACTTGAATCTACTCTTACCTGCATAATGAACTATTCCACAAAGTCTTGTATATCAAGCTATATATTCATTTGCACATCTTAACATGCTTTACACACCCGAAATTTCGCTTGTTGAGTACGGTGTCTCCCTCCAGAACGGGTTCCTCCCGGAAGTTCCTCCCTTACGAAGATTGGAAGACCCTTACTATTCTCCATGGGAGGACATCGCTCAAGACTTGCCTGAGCTCATTCGGTCAGGTACTATCAGGAGGTCCGTAGATGACCTGGGTATACTCTCTACGAAGAAGTTGCGGGGAGAACCTGAGTGGCGGAGAGCATATGTTGTGCTTGCTTACCTTACACACGCCTACATCTGGGGTGGTGACAAGCCGAAAGATGTACTACTCCCCTTATCTCAATACTACCTTTCTTGTCTATCACTACATATCCCGTGCCTTCGCTGACACTGACTATACAGGTGCTACCCCCCTGCATCTCACGCCCATTCATCGAAGTATCGAACCACTTAGAGCTACCACCATGTGCCACTTATGCTGCCCTCAATCTTTGGAACTTTTCGGTACCCTCCGCTGATACGGATGTTACGGATCCGGACAACCTATCAGTGGTGACCTCGTTTACTGGCACCAAGGACGAAGAATGGTTTTTCGTTCTCTCTGTCGCTATCGAGGCCAAGGGAGCGCAGCTCATCGAGATAATGCTGGACGCCATGCATGGAGCCACTGTCGATGATAACCAGCGTGTTGTTTCTCGTCTCGAGCAACTGAACTATGGTCTGAAGGAACTTGGTGACCTCTTGGAACGCATGTATGAAAATTGTGCGCCACCCGTCTTTTACCATCAACTACGCCCATACTTGGCCGGCAGTAAGAACATGACATCGGCTGGGTTACCAAATGGTGTATTCTACGATATTGGAGAAGGCCGAGGCGAGTGGCACCAATACAGTGGTGGTAGCAATGCCCAGAGTTCTTTGATCCAAGCCTTCGACATTTTCTTGGGCGTGGAGCATTCAGCCACCGGAGAGACCAAGCCTCACGGCAAGATCAATCCTCAAGTCATGACTGGTTTTATGCAGGTAAGAGTTGATCTCTAAGGAATTATCTAGACCAAGCAATGTCGATACTGACTGTATATTCCCAGAACATGCGAAACTACATGCCAGGCCCTCACCGACGCTTCTTGGAAATGATGCTCCGCACGTCCAATGTGAGATCCTATGTTTTGAGCCACAAGCCAGGATCTGCTCTGAGGGATGCATACAATATGGCGGTTATGTCACTTGGGGGATTCCGCGATAAGCATGTGCGGATGGTGACTCGATACATCATCATGGCTGCAAGGACTCCGCCGCCGAACCAAGTATCTTCGAGGACAAACCTGGCCACGACAACGTCGACATTAGTGGATAATTCTCATGAGAAACTCAATGCCGGCGTCAGGGGAACAGGCGGGACAGATCTGATACCGTTTCTTAAACAGACCAGGGACACGACGAAGGCTACAGCCAGCTACACCGACTAAACCGCAGCGATGCAATTGAACTTTTTGGCTATGCGACTTTTGATACCACATAAGCAAATCGTTTCATGAATTTCATAACCCCTCACGACTACCGACTTATGAATGATTGCTAGACGATTTTCTTGCTGCACAATTACTTCATAGGACATGTTCAGGACAGGCAGTCTGCGGGGACGGGAGCGGAGGCGGATACGGATGGCGGGAAAGCTGGACTTTCGATGATATCCGAGGGGATCCGCAGGAACTGAGTCTTATCGCGTGTCATCTATCTGACTCCACTTACATCATGATAGAAGCACACTTGAATCATTTATTCTGTGTTTATCGGGACCCGTAGTGGTTGGAGACCCATTAATATAGTGATAAATAGCAGAACAATCATTTAAAATCATCAATGCATTTCCTCTATTGCGGATATTGGCCATGCAGCCATTGTTCCCACCTTATCGGCAAGCAGGAGTACCGTTACACAGAAGCAAGCAGAGCTGTAAGAAGGGGCCAACCAGGCCAAGCGATCTTCCAGCTCTCCTTGACACTGATACCCACTGGTCTCCTTCGAGAATGGCGCTAGAACCTCCCCTGTAGTCGTCCACAAGAGGACACTGTTGTATCAGTAACTCCCACATGCAGCACCTACAATACGTAACGAGCTTCTCACATCCCAACTCAACAAGTGAGCTTGTCAATTATGCTTGACATCCGCAGAATACCGCCAATTGAAAGTCCCGGAAGAATGAAGTTACTGTTTCCTATACTAAGTAGGAAAAGACAAATAAACACCGATTCGGCGACCAACAAAGCCCTACCGTAGCATATCGAAACCATGATACACCTCTCAAATCAAGCACCAACCAGCCCTCTCCCAATATATCAGATGAACGAGACATCTGACCAAGAACCTCCCCTTTACTCTCCTGCTAGTAACCCAACTAGGAACCTATGCGGTCATTGTTCTCGTGACCGTCCTTCTCTCCCATAGCACTAACTTGTCCTTTCCCACGGGCAACCCCTTGCCCTCCCATATCAGCAACTTGGCTACCAGATAGAACACAGCCAGCCAGCCTATCAGCCCATCCAATCAACACCTAACAAACCAAATTCGACCGGGCAAAATCCCCGACCTGTGATCTGTTATCCAAGTCTCACATTCCGACCAGGCAGGTCTCAACCAAGACAAAATCAAGGGGTGTGCCGCGAAAAAGGGTATCGGCGATTGAAGCTTATCCGTTCGGCGACCGGCTTATCACACCATCAACGCCATTATGGCGATGCACACCGCAATTCTCGGCCAGTGAGATATGTTGTCGCAGATCTGAGGAATTTCAAGTACTCCTGAGTGCCCAGGAAGGTGGTCTGGGGCGGTGATACGTATATCTGGTGGTCATGGCGTTCGATGGGCTTGTGGCTGCTTCTTTATAGGTAGTTTTCTAGTTGTTCTTTTCTGGGTGCAGTGGCGGATAAGATAAGGAAGATGGATATATTAATACCGAATTTGGACAGGAACCCGGGGACCTTGAAAAGCCTTCAGGTCGGCGAGGTAGGGGATCGGGGATCGGGATTGAGATGGCAATTGTATAGAGTCATAGTATTAGCATCTCGCCCGAGAAGAGAAATGGATATATGTAAGAAGTTTCTACGTATAAAAAGAGAAAATATTCTAGAAAGAAACCGACGTACACATCGAGTCATTCATTGTATGAAATCAAAAAAAGCGGCACGAACGAAGTATATACATCACTATCGCAACATCTACACAAGAAAACTGAGATAAGGCACCAGCATCTCCATACGATGGAACCAATCATCCATCCCATATTCGAGAGACAAACCTCAACATGGCAATACATCGTAGCCTGTCCCGAGACACACGAAGCCGTGATCATCGACCCAGTCCTCGACTTCGATCCATCCCAGCTCACCGTGACTACAACCTCAGCCGACGAACTTCTTGACCTTGCAGCCTCCAAGGGCTATCACATCACTCGAATCCTCGAGACACACGCTCACGCCGACCATCTCACCGCAGCCCACTACATCCAGACCAAGCTCCATCATCAACAGCGCTCATCACTCTCCTCCTCGTCATCAACAGAATCAAGCCCCAAAGTCCCCATCTGCACCGGCCACCGCATCCGCCAAGTCCAAGCCACATTCGCACAACGATACAACATCCCGTCCAACGACCTAGACACCGCATTCGACCACCTCTTCCAAGATGACGAGACCTTCCAGATCGGACGCATCACCGCCCAAGTCCTCCATCTACCCGGCCACACGCCCGATCACAGTGGGTACATGATAGGCAGCAATGTATTCACGGGCGACTCGATCTTCAACCCGGACGTGGGCAGTGCGCGGTGTGATTTCCCGCATGGAGATGCCCGCGCCTTGTATCAGACTATGCGGAAGCTGTTGGCGCTACCGGAGCATGTTAAGCTGTATACGGGGCATGATTATCCGCCTGCTGATTCTACGACTAATCGGGCGCCTAAGGCTTTTGTGACGGTCAAGGATCAGAAAGAGGGGAATAAGCATGTGAAGGAGGGGACTGCGGAAGAGGAATTTGTGAAATGGAGAAAGGAGAGGGATGCTGCGTTGGGTGAACCTCGTCTCTTGCATCCTTCGTTGCAGGTTAATGTTCGGGGTGGGAGATTGCTTTGGGGTGATACGGGGAATCGGCGGAGGGCTTTTCTTTGGATGCCTGTGAAAGTTCCCGAGGTTATGGGGAGTGGTACTGGTAGGCGAGGTGTATCTACGATGTCTATGTCGTCGGCTAGGATCGGGGGTAGTGGTTTGCGGGCTGTTCTGGGGGTTGTTGATAGGTTGAGGATGGTTATGCGCAGGTTTGTATAGATTAGTTGTGTATAGTATCATGGTATTAATTAAATTAGATTGGGCATTCTTTGTGACAGAAGGATCGAAACCTCCACGTAATGATATGCGCGGTCAAGTGGCCTAGAACTTGGTTATCGTCGTCATGAGCCTTTTCAGGAAGATCCTGAGCTGGACATTTGTCTGTCGCACGCGGTGTGTAGATCGGATTCCGGGGGTTGTTCAAGGGGTTACTGAATGCTTGCTCTGTGATTAATGGGAGCTTTTTATTGGCTGATGGTTGTTCGGGGCGCTTTCATTGGATGATTCGCAATCGCCGATAGGTGTCTCCCCGGTCGCCGATTGAACTTGTCGGCCATCCAAAAGCTGTGTGTTGAACAAAGTACGGAGCTGGGACTTTATCTAAAGCTACCAATATCACAATTCCATTCAGGTATAAAGGAACAACGGGAAGACCATGTTCCACTTCTAATAGGTACCAAACTTTCAACTTTCAACTTTAACATCTTGGTGACAATAATGGCTTCTACAATGCTTGCAACTTTCCCTGGCTCTGCTGCCAGCTATACTACCTCCCACCTGAACAAGGACTCGGCTCCGTTATTGGTCGAAGAGGACAACTATACGTTTGAGCAGCTTGTACATGATCTAAGAGGCTACCTGGGTAGCTCTCGCGGCATTGATGGAGAAAATGTTGACCACAAGGTTCTGATTGCCTTCATGTCTAAATACACTTCCAACCCTAAAGACTGGTCGCGGTTCGCACGCAACGACGTGAGCAAGAACTATACTCGCAACTTGGTGGAGGATATCAATGGCCGTGCCAACCTGGTCAGTCATAAGTTTGGAGATTGTTATGGTCCCTGACGACTAACACGCCAACAGTTGGTTCTGGTCTGGAACCCTCAAAAAGGCTCGCCCATCCATGATCACGCCGATGCGCACTGCATCATGAAGATTCTTGGGGGAGAACTGAATGAAGTGATATACGACACGCCAGATCCCGAACGAGGCCATGATGCCCCTTTGACGGTCAAGCAAGAGACAACGTACAGGACCGACGAAGTTGCGTATATCTGTGACCAGATCGGACTGCATAGGGTCATGAACCCACAGAAAGATCAAGTTGCTGTTTCTTTGCACTGTGAGTTGGCCTCGATCCTAAGGAAAGTTATAGTTGTCTGACGCGTCTTCAGTGTATACGCCGCCTAATGCTGCGGACTTCGGGTACAACATCTATGATCGCGACACTGGACGGAGCAGCCATGTTTATCAGGCATCTTAATCGAGTAGAAGGGAATTTGGACAAGGACAGACGAGTGCAGGACACTCGCTATGATTCATGACTAGCGTTGATTAACCTGTATGCATTTAGACTGGGATTTGGCGGACCTGGAATTTGAGATCCCAGAGACTGTTACTGTTGGCATAATTGTATCACAGCGATCTGGATCAGTCTGAGGCGAATAAGCCATGCATAGTAATACCCAGTTCAGTGTCTTTCTAGAAGGACTGCCACTCTTCGAGGTAGTTGATGCAGATTGGATAGTAAAGATATTTTTCCATAGAAGGTAGTCTGAATTTGCATTCCAGATGCGCTCACGTAAGAATAAAGTATACTTCTAAGTGATAAAGTGAAATTGATGGGCTTCGTAATGATATGAAGTGGCGACAGTTACTTGCTTCTTTACTCCAATTGTGTATGAAAATAGCTTAGTCATGTGAGCTTATGAGCCTGCATTTACCCGAGTAGGCATGGACCATAAAGTGTGCATTTCCATGACTGTATCTGCTTCGACGCCAGCTGGATTCTTCTGTCTCATCACCCCCGGAACAGTCGTTTGTTTGTCTTCATAATATGCTACTACTACTCATACTCTTTAAATTTATGTCAGGATGAACGAGAGCGTCCAACCAGAGTACTGAACATGACTCGTCCGTCACCGCTGGCCTGTACGGAATGTCGCAAGCAGCATCTGAAATGCGACGCCCAAACCCCCACCTGCTCTCGCTGCTTACAGAACCGACTAAAGTGTAACTATCTTCCTTCTAGACGTGGAGGGAGACGGAAAACCCGTGAAGCACTCCGGCAGCATCACGATGCATCTTCCGCAGACCTGCTCTTGTCACCTCACCCTACCGATATGAGTGGGCGTGATGCTTCTTCGACTGTTTCTGGTCAGCAGAACCAGCGCATCAGCCCAGTCGTGGAAGGCCAAGTCCAAGACGCTGCAGATTCTGATGCTCGACTAGTCCGCCTGTATTATGAAAACTTTCACTCCGCGCATCCAATCCTGGTTCCCGCGCCCTTGTATGAAGAACGAAAGTACCCAGCGTACCTGCATGAAGTCGTCACACTCATAGGTGGCCATTTCTTGTCTACTGGCTCCCTCCCTGATATGGCCAGTGTGCAACTAGGCGCTGATGGAGAAAGGACGCCATGCAAGGTTCAGGCACTTTTGCTTTATTCGATACTTTCATGCGCTCGTGGCGAGTGCTCGCAAGCTCACACATCCTTTTCCCAAGCTGTCGACATTGCATTGGAACTAGGAATGTACAGACAAGAATTTGCGTCCACGTCTTCCAATGCCGTGGAAGCTGAGAGCCTGCGCCGGACTTGGTGGGAGCTTTTTATCGTCGATGTCTACATGGCAGCTTTGCAGAAGAGAGTGGTCTTGCGATGCAGCGGTGTTCCTTACGACGTTGCTTTGCCTTGCGAGGAGTCCGTATATGCCAATTACACCAACATACCATCGCCTCCCACTCTTGCTGGGTTCAACAAACGCATCTTCGCTGATGAAGAAACAAGCTACTCATCCTTCAGCTACCGCATCGAAGCGGTATGCATCCTGGCACGGGTATTGGTCTTGAATAGCCTGCCAGAAACACACCGGGATCACTTACAAGCTGTGGAAAATGCGCTTGTCAGCTGGACAAATCACCTTCCACCAAACAAAGTCGACATCGTGGATACGTACGGCAGCGTCGATGAAATACTTTTCCAGGCACACACTACTATTCACTTTGCTGCAATGCTCCTGCATCTTCCAAGAAGCAGTCTTCGGCCCGTCTGTCCAGAAACAGAGTGCCCGATTTGTCCAGTGATTCCATCTCGGCTTTCGCCATCCTTCACCCGACATGTTCATGATATCAAAGCTACGGAGGCATCCAAACAACTCTCCAATCTTCTCTCAGTCCGCCCCAGCGTGCAGAGATACAGTCCATTTGTCGTGTTCAGCTTAGTACTCTGTGGAATGGTTCAGCTTGCCACAAGCCGTATCCACTCCTCAGAATGCTCGGATCATCACTGTAACCGGATAATCTTGGTTCTAGGCTGTCTAAAGACACTGAAACAGAAGTGGCCCATCGCAAATCGAGCTCACTACTTCCTCCGGAGCGTAGCAGCAGAAACATTTACGGCCTGGATTGAGTCTCGATATCCACAAACCAGCAACGCTGTGCCTCTAGCCTCAAGAAATGGTCCCAGCTTTCCACCTGAAAATAATGCTTGGCTCTCTGTTGTTAGCAGCAATGACACATCCAGGCCTGTGGAGACTGACGCACAAGGCATATTCTCGCCGGGGCTGTTATCCGCGTACATTGACCCAACCTGCAGCGAGCCGCTGCTTCTAGGTCCTATGCCTGACCTTGACTTCACATGATTTTCCTCAGTGGGATGACCGATCAGAGTCTGATTACCCATGAATGTGCAATCTCCCGAGGATCTCCAAATTTTGCTGGAGGAGCGCTACTACCTTCTTCGCTGCATTGTTATGGTCCACGCCACTACTACTCCGGGTGTCGCTGCGATGCACATTCTGCAGACTTTGCAGCACTGGAATCATCATCCTGCCTGTAACTGCTCACGGCTAATTCTATGGACTCGAGCTTGCTCTCAAATACGCCTTGTAGGCCTTCCTTTCGGTCTCCTCAAACTTGGCAATGCGAAGCCGTCCTTACAGCTACGCTTGCCTCAGCTAGTAGGCTCACTGCAGTTCAACAAAAAGGGCGGGTATGGCTTTCTCGTGAGCCATTGAATCGCACCCCTATCTTGATATGATTCAGTTGACCTTGGCTTGAGTGAATAGGGTTCAATGTCGTCCCTATTTCCTGTTATTGACGCTGAAGAGTGATTTTTGATGGACCCACCAGAAGTCGGTACTTGTTAATTGAGGCGGCGTCTCCAATGCATTGTGCTTTACATCCGATGATATTTGGGGTGGCTGTTAGACGGGTCAAACAGGACCAGACCGTGTGGACAGCTGTGGCTCATATGCAGTGAAAGTACATAATGAACTTCAAAGTAGCTAGAAGATACGGGTCTCAATGAAGCACGTGAAGATATCGAAGATTTAAGAAGCATGATTATTTTCGCTTTGAATTTGTATGTGTTGCTCCTAGGGCTGACTATGTGTGCGTCAAATGTATCATGACAGTAGTGAACCGGAAATGTTCACTGTAGGCTTCCAAATCGTGTAGATCTTACGCCCTTGCAATTCCGTCAAAAAGGCAATGATCTGGAAGTAGCTCTACAGCGAGGGCTCAGCATACCAGGGCTATGAGCCCTTTGTAGTTCCCATAGGCTACTGATGATGTGCCTTATCCCACCCTAGAAAGGGAGTACTTCGGGGAACCCTGGTTTATCAATGCCAGTAGGAAGATCCCATATCTCGCCGGACAATAAGGATGCCAGCCGGTCAACCGAAGCGTATCAACACGCGAGTAAAGCACGTCTCAGAACGTGTTATCCAAACATCCACATCCCAATGTTCTCAGCACTTAACGCTTCTTCGTAGTAGCCGGAACGCCCTCACTCGCACGCAGCTCCGCCAACTTCTTCTCCCGCTCAATCAACCGTTCCCTTTCCTCTTTGATCATCCGTTCAACCGTCTTATTCGCCTCCCCCAACCGATCCATTTCACTACTCTCCGTCGTCCGACTATACGGATTCTCCGCGGACGAGTTCGCCGGAATCTCAGCCGTTCTTACTCCCTTCTGCTGCTGCTGCGACTGCTTGGTATTCTTGCCACTCTTCCCCTTCTGCGGCTGCCCTGCTGCCCCGGCGCCACCCGTCAAGAGCTCATAAAACTGCTCTACGGGTTCATTGAACACCACCTCCTCGTAGTTCTGGCTGATCACCAGCTCGCGGCGCTCTTTCTTCGCTTCCGCGTCTGGCCCGTACGGATGCAACTTCAAGCTATGCCATAGGGTCTGTGGCTTCTCGGTTGACTCCGGAACAAAGTATAATTTGATCTGGATCTCGAATTCACCCCATCCGGTCTCGGTCACTTCGAAGGGGGCCTGTTCGATCGTTCGCACGTTCTGGGCGTAAGTCTCGTGGAGCTTGAATTGTACTTTCTTGAGCCAGTAGGAGATGTCTTCGTCGTTGACGCCTTTCACGAATACGCGCCACTGGTGCGTGTGGTCTGCTGGGACGTGGGGAGGTTTCTTGGCTGGGTCGAAGGGTTGGGCTTCACTGCCAAAGACTGTCATGGCTTGTCAGGATGGGCTTGACTTGAGAGCTGGAAGATAATTGGCAATAGAGGCATACCGAATGGCCGGAAGACAGAGACGCCCTGTATAGTCGTGATAGGTTAGTAGGTCGGCCAGGTTTTGTATGATCTGGGAGGGATGGACTCACTCTGACGCGCTTGGTTCCTGTCGCTGATGGCATGCTGCAAGACTGACAATATAAGAGATTTGAGATGAGCAGGACGTATGCGGATACCGGGCGAGAAAAGAATATATCGATAGTTAAGAGAGGGGTGTGTAGTTACAGTGTCGCTCTTGTCGCGATCCAGGCCGCGGAATCTCTGCAGTTGCACGTGACGGAGGCGGGTGATACGATAAGGAATCCGGCGGAAGCTGAGCTGCGGCGGGCGGTCGTTGCTTCCTCCGGGTTCGAGCTCCGGCGATTTGGAATTCACGAAAATGTTTCGTTGACTTCAGTATCTGGATTCTCACAAAATCAAAATACATTCATTTCGAGTTTAATTGATTTTACCCTACAATGGCAGCAAAAAGGGTGGTTGTCGCCGGTGGAAACGGCTTCTTGGGTATGTGATGCAGGCAGTCTATGTACCTACCAGCTGGACGCTTGAGCATTCAGTGCTAACAGCTTGTTTCCTGGACAGGTTCGAGGATTTGCAAATCTGCTGTCGCTAGAGGATGGGAGGTTACGTCGCTCAGGTACGATCGCTATTGATCTTGATATCTTATAGAATTCATCTAAATCATACACTGGTATTAGTCGCTCCGGGGAACCGCGATGGGATACCGTCACCGGTTCTCTCAGTCGTCCAAGCTGGGCCAGCTCAGTCGAATGGGCTAAGGCAGATATGCTTAAGCCGGAAACCTACAAGCCCTTTCTGAATGGTGCGAACGCCGTCGTCCATAGTATGGGAATCCTCCTGGAGGCGGACTACAAAGGGGTGGTGCAAGGACGAGAACCAATCCTTAGCGGATTGCAAAAGGCTTTTGCGGCGTCAAAACCAGGCAGTCAGGATCCGTTGCAAAGGCGGGAGGGAGAGCCTCTTCAAGTGAAAGAGCGCAATGGGCAGTTTACATATGAGCTCATGAATCGCGATTCTGGTTCGTGCGATCGCAGGTTATGTTGGGATGGATTGATTGCTAACATCTTGATTACCGTCCATTTTAGCGGTCGCATTGGCGCAAGAAACCCTTAACGAACATGTCCCGACTTTCCTTTACATCTCTGCTGCTTCAGGCGCGCCAGTTCTCCCCAGTCGATATATCACAACGAAGAGAGAGGCGGAATCCATCATCGCAGCGAAGTTACCGGAGCTGCGGAGTGTCTTTGTGCGAGCCCCGTTTATGTACGATGAAAGCAGGAAGTTCACACTCCCCATTGCTCTTGGTGGCTTCGTCGGTTCTCAGGTCAATGCGCTTTTGGGCAACAGACTGGACTTCCTGGGCTCTATGGTCACGAAACCCTTCCAGGTGGATACTGTGGGTGAGGCTGTAATGGAAGCCCTGGATGACGAATCTGTCCGAGGTGCCTTGGGAGTAGAGAAGATAGAAGCGCTAGCTACGAAAGCGTGGAGGAAGAGCATGCTATAAGGGAGGAGCACAAGGACAAGAAATTGATTGCCAAACTAACATGTCAGACTGGCTGCTTGGCGCCTGGAGTGAGAATATTTCCAAGGTGAGCAAGGCGAAGACCTATCTACCGACCAGGCCCATGGAAGGCCTGTGAATTTAGGTCAAATTCCCGGCCGAGCGCACGTCATCGTCTGATTCCGCTCTGAGATAACGACATCAGCAAAATGGCTTTGTGACCAGGCCATGTCGAGCTGTCCAGGAAATCTATCTGGAAGCTGCCATAGTGTACACTACATCATGTATCATAAATGAGGCTATAACCGAACATGCCTAATCCGTGTTTCAAGGGACCACCCGTCATTAGAACCGTCAAGTGACATGGTATCTCGGTCAAGATGATGGTGTGACTGAGATATGTGCGGCTCGTATGTGCTATAACTGGATGCCAACTTCGTCAAGCAGGGTGGAGGACCCTGCAAGGGGAATTCGTCGGCGACCTTCTTTGCATTTGTCCAGTATAGTCCGGAACGAGGTGCAGAGAAACGAAATTTGACGAAACGCACACATCAAGTTGCTGTCATGCAGGTTTTTTTGCAAGGCTACTGTACGTTTGAACTGTCCTGCAGATTCAAATTTTCTTGGCGTAAATCAGATCATCGTACCACGCTCGAAGCTGTCGCGAATTTCCGTAGTGTACTGGAAGGCATTAGCTAGGGCTTTTGACAATTAACAAAGTAAGAACGCACCTTGTTATAGAATCTCGACAATTTTTGGTTGAACTGCTTGTTCTTTTCGTTGATGTAAGTGACGTCGCCGTCGTCGTCTCCGCGGCGGTCCCTCCGCTTCTTAAGTCGGACTTCCTCAGCTTTCCGAAGGTTATCCACAAGCTTGTCAACAGCAGCTCTGTCGGGCTTGTTCTCCGTAAAGCCAACACTGTCAGCAGTAGAGTAGAAAGAGCCATTCTTATCGACGGCGATCATTTCACCGTCGTTGGTCTCAACGATCTCGAGATCGCCATTGGCAGCAGCTTTTTCAATCGCTGCCATCTTCTCCCTCTCGTAGGTTTCGAGATCAGGCTGTACTTCCCGCAGCTGTCTCTTGTACACCTTTTTCGCATCTTGGGTGTAGTCCTGGAATGCGACATTGTCCCGATGACGCTGCTTCTTTTCCATGCGCTTATCCCATTTTTCGGACTCATCGACAGTCCAGTCCCATGCACGCTTGCGTTCAAAATCCTCACCAGCGGCTTCGGTGTCAGCCTTGAGAAGGTTATGCGATGCGAAAGCATGTTTGCGAGAGAGCGAAGAAAGCAGCGACGGATCGGTTGCGAGACGCTGTGTTTCGGCAGCCGTTTCTTTCAAATTCCGCTCAGTAGCAGTTTTCTAAAATGAAGTCAGTACGAACATAGCGTACAGTGGCCCTTCGCTACCATGAACTTACTGCGCGAGCTTGGAGAGCCTTGAATCTTTCTTGTCTTTGGCGCGCTCTTGAGGCAGCATCATCGTCTTTTTTGTCGGTGCTGGCGTCATTTACGCTAGCCTCTCCTCCTGATTCCCCCTGTGTCTTCTCTTTTGAAGGTGATGTAGGTTCCTTGCGATCATCGCCGGCTTGGACATTCTCTGCGGATTGCTTGGGCATTTCCTTGGCGCCAGAAGGGCTGGCCGCAGACTGCTCGGCGGGCATGCTGCAAATGGAAAGGAGTGTGTAAGGCTCCAAGAAATCCCTTCTGAGGTAAGTTCGTAAAAAAAAAAAGTCGGGTGTTAGAAACCTCGAGTTTAATGGTGATGTGAGAAGCAAACGATGGTCGGTTTCTGACTGAAGGACTGAAGCCTCGATTCCGGATCGGAGTTGCAGTTACGCCATGGTCCACCGCCATGCTGACCGCCTTGCCCCTGGTGGATTGCCGGGTGTTATTATGCTTTATCGACCCGCTGCCATCTCCACTTTCCCAACCCCGGATTATCACTGGTATGCCATTGAATACCGCCTCCACTGTGTCATTTGTCTGTGTCCTTGATGCCTAGAAGTAGTCGAAATCTATGTCACTATACTCTCATTTGTGTGTGCTATCACGGCGGCGAGCATTGAGGTCTTTCTATATATCACCATCGCTGTGCCGCCATGTCTCCATCGACGTCAACTCGAGAGCTTCATATACCGAGCCCACTCCGTCCCACCTGGTCAGGTTCGCTCTGACAGGTACCACGAAACCTTCCCACAATGACGTCTCCAATCCGGAGCTTGACAAACACCTCTCGGACATATTTCTCGGTGATTGGCCTTTGGTATCTCTACCACCACCTTTTTGGAGCTCTTCTGGTCGACAGCCACAAAACCCCGATGAAATCGCGTTGTTCAAAGCCCTGAAACATGACGTCCGAAACCTGCGTCACTTGCAGGTACTCATTGAAAGAACTGTCAATGAAGTAGAAGGCAGTCTACTTTTACAGACACAATCCTGCGCCCTTTTAGCGCAAGCGTTGAATCGTTGCCAGCGAAAGAATTCCTACGGCGAGATTCTCTCGGCGCTCAATGCTATCATCACAAGACTGGAGAGGCTGGGACTACCGCGTACGAGTAATCTATACTTTCTGGGGATGTACTATGCTGCACTCTCATTGTCTGCGCCGGCTCTTGAAAGGTTTTTGGACGGGTACCTTTCCGTTGGCCTGTGGCCCATGGACAGCCTCGCAAGTAAATCTCTAGTGAATGCGCTCCTCAATGCCCTTCACTATCAGAGCTTCCGTGAGGTTACTATTGATACGAGCGCGATACTGGAGTTGATCGAGGGAGGTAAACAACGAAGGAAGAAAACCCTTCACGATCTGTTGTCCTGGGGCGATTCTGCCGGCCCAGCCATGCATCGTGGGCATTACCTTTGCTTACTCGCGAAACTGCGGAGCAAAGACCTTCTGTCTGAAGTATGGAAGCAAGCGATGTGGAGACTTTCGCCAAGCACTTCTCCTGAAATGTACCAATGTATGTACTCTTGTATAGTGACTCTGACGGAAAGTGGTGATGTTGTCCAAGCTATGGATTACTTGCAGGAAGTGTCGAAACACTCCCAGGGAATGCTTCCTGGTATATCCGAGTTCAAAGATGTCAACACACTGCTTGAGTCAGAAGTTATTGGTCCCCTATTGCCTCGAATGGCAGGTGAGAAAGAGTACTTGAAGCTTCTTGAGGCCCAACTAATACAGATCGAGCACAAGCTGGGTCTTAGTTGGGATTCTGAAGGCCCCTTTCACACGAATATAAGCGATCCGCACTCGATAATATCTGATTTACCGCTCTTCAATATCGATGGTGACAGCACAGGCTATGAGAGCGTTGCACGATTGATTACCGAAATTAACGCCTCCGGATGCTCCAGGTCAGCGACAGATCTCGGGAAGATTGCAGAACTGCTCGAAGAACACGAGGGAGACATTATCCCTGTATCTTTGCCATCAACTGAAGGCCAGGATGAGGAGTATGCCTGGTTTCCCCAGTATTCTCCAGTTCAGTGTTCGGGGGCCTCTCCGTCTGCTGGAAAAGAGGGCACTGAGTCTTGGACACCTTCAACGCTAGGTTTAGTCCGTGTCAGCTGCGATAGGAGTGGATCCCCTCTCGAACGCTCCATTCATGTGATGCAGCTTGGTCGTTTGGCAAGGAGAGCCAGATGTCCACATGATCAGGATCCAAGCTATGATAATCCTTGGGAAGAGACCGAGCATATGATTGCGTGGGATCGTGTCTATGGCCAGCTCATCGCTGTATACGTTGGACCAAGCGACGGGCCTATTGAGAGTCGCATAGAGTCACGGGCTGCACGAGCGCGATCTGGTATTGAGGCGATCACCACAGTCTCTCTTCATGGTGATACGGCGCCAACTTCTCAAGGTGATCTGATATCTTTTATTGGAAATGCGTCTATGCATTATTACATCGAGGAAGATCCAAGTCCGGACCTCATGCTATAATTGCTTCTCTTTTTGGTCACTGGTGTACATAAGCATTGAGCTCGAAGTACTTGCGCAGCACAAATAGCCTCTTTCTGATACGATGCTTTTCCGGCAATTACTATCGAAGACTTTCCTGGAAGAAGCCCATATTAGCTCTGTCGGATATTGCATCTTGCAAAGTGTGTCCGCATTACGGCCTTATTCCCCCCTATGCTCGGAAGCTAATGCTATATTTTGCTATGGGAAGTAGCTATCAAACTTGCATGCTAATAGCATCTATTGCATAGTCTATGTATGCAGCTTGGCAGGCATGTTCAGCATAGCCACAGCGATTCGTGATACACTCTCTTGCTAACATAGCAGAAGGTTATGCTTAGCCAGCTAAGAAGCTGGGGAAGCCAGCATCATCCTTAGCAGTCCTCATCTCGCATGACCACAATCTCTCAACCTCAGTGGCAGAGACTATGCAATGCAACTAGCATCTGCTAAGTCTACATACTGTTCCAACGGAGAGCCCGAACGTGATGCACTATCACCAGCAAAGAACCATGCTGTCGGCCAAGTCCGAGAGTACGGCTTCATGTTAAGTAAGCCACGTCAATACCATTCAAGTGGACAATGGGCGAGACATGGTCCCATGGTTTGATCGTGTGCTCTACCGCCTGCTCAATGTCAGATAACATTATCTGGCAGGTGAGCTGAAGCCCCTTGCAACTTCCTGTCTCATATTACGTCAGTTTTCCGTGTCACCACAATGACGGTTTAGGTGAGCAAACCCTCAAGACACGAAGCAGGCTGGTAGAATACCGATTGCTGATATGTTTCTCGCACAACATAAGTTTACTCTTCACCGTTTGGGTAGCCTGCAGCACGATCTGGTCACTGATTCCAAAGAGTCTCTGGTAGGATTGCTACCTTCTCTAGTGCCCTATCAATGCAACAGGATTTCGAGCGGTCTCTGGCTGTCACGTCTACACCCCACACAACATGCCGTAAGGTCGTAAGTGTATTGGTAGCGGTTGACTCACATTTTCAAGGATAAGTTTGGGTATTATGCTGAGACAATTGATTATATGAAGACATCTTCCGTGTGTGTACGGATTGCCAATTTGATCCAAAGCGTACGTACAATACAAACGCCCTCCTAGACAAGGATTATCCTTTCTGTTCGGAGTAGTTTCAGGTGTGCAAGTTGCTGTGGCCCGCGCTAAGAGCACACGCAGGGTACCGCAAGACAAAACGAAGAGACAGCCAGGATATCCTAGGTTCAGGTGCAAGGTCAGTGCGGACGACTGAAAGCCAAGGCAAGCTTGTCAGCTTTGAGAGTCAGGGTATCCTGGCTCCCTTGCTCGCAGCAGCCCTTTGTCGACGCAGATTATTAGACTAAATAGGAAGGTCGATAATCCATCGACCCGTAAGATTTCGAAGATCTTCTTTTCTTGCAGGGTTGCGCCATTAGTTCGCGATCGAGGCTTCCACGTCGCCCTAGCAGGGGAGCTGATGCGTCCAGGATTCGGTGTGCTCTTTTGCTTTTTCTCCAAGAAACGGCCCCAACGAAGACATAAAGCATCGATCCATAATCTTGATCTTCCCGATTGTATGCTGTGGTCCATAACGAAGGCATTCTTGCATGAGCCGTCCAGGGAGATTTTCAGAACCCAAAGTATCGCTGGCGTGTAGAGCCCAAAGGCTGTCTCGACGCGAGGCGGGCGGCCCGTACTTCGGCCAGAACCTTGGGCACTCAAATCATCCGGTGAGACCGGAGGGCAAATACTTGTTAGTTAGTTAGGTAGTATGTCTATAGGTAAGGTTTGTCTAAAATTTAGTGGCCGCATTCCCACACTCTATTGGTATCAACTTGCCTGGTGTTATTTCCTCTTCATGTATCATGATTTGTCATATCCGTAGGTAGATACAGTACCATTCCATATGGAACGGCTTTTAGTAGGATTGGCGGGTGGCTAATTAAGATGCGTGGGAATGGTGAAGGGAAGCTTGAGCTGGCTGGAGGAGAATATTGCGGTTGGGTTGCCGGGAGCAGTTGCTGCTATACGGCGGCGGAAGGCGAACGTTGGGCCAAGTCACTTGATCCCCCCTTCCTTTTCGTAATGCGGCAATCGACAGGTCGACGAGATCGCAGCAACTCCTCCGCTCTCTTGCAAACTGGAGATCTCCGATTCCCACGGACTTTTCCCAGGGCCCAATCGGAGAAACGCCTTCTTTCCCCGTAAGTCACTCACTCATTTCCAGCCTTCCTTTGAAATGAACCGCATGCGTGCAGACTGCTGGTCGAATAATACCTTCGGTTCCTGACAAATCTTTTTCTTTTGGTTGCCTCTGGCGATAGTTTACTCAAGGAGTATCTCCGTGACTCGCTTCTTACACGGGTTCTCCGTCCTAGTTGCCTTCTACAGGCAAATGGAGTGTGGCTGGCAACGCGCAGCGTTAATTGGCATCCGACCTCAGCGTCCGGGCCATGTCTCCATTTGTTCCAACTAAGAGAATATTCATATCGGCGATGGGAAAAAAAAAAAACAAAGTGGAGGATATTCTCCCCCGGAGGAAACTCCTCTGGGAATAAGCAAGAAGCTCACGATTATGCACTACCTGTGGACGGTCATGACGCACGAACAGGATCATCGCCGTAGCACCCAATCTACACACTAGCCACTGCACTGCAATTGCAGCTTCCGGGATTCCAAAAGGCCAGACCCATGACTGCCTGGGTAGGAACACAGAAAGGTGTGGACACTGGATACCCTTAGTGTGCATGAGGCACACCCGGATTCCGGGAAATAGAACGCTGCATAGGCGTGTCGGTACTCGGTAATAGTTCCATCTGTCTGACGGTGGTTGTTGACTCATCAGCATCCAGCCAACTCTGGCCATCGATCAAGTCATCCAACAGTCAAGGATGTGACACATCATTCATGGTTGTCGGCAAGGCAACCACACATACAGTAGCCCGTCCATTCAAGAGGGAATGGTGAACAGTTGTTACAGGGCTAATGCACGAAAAGTACTTCTGTCGCCGACTTGGATTTCTTCCCCGCAGCACCAGAGGGGGTTACGATAACACAAATCAGCTGAGATGAAACATCCAGTGTGATATGTGGCGGTGACCACCGATCGATCTTCCATTTCCATTGCAAGGATAGGCATCATACCTTGTACCTTAGCCACAATTTGTGAATGAGTATGTCCCAGGATCTCACTACAGGAAATCCGGAGCGCACCCAACGGGGTTCTCGGGCTTCACTGAGATCAGAATTGGAAGTGATTTTTGAGGTCCCCACCAGAAGTAAGCCAGCTCACCTCCCTTCTTCTTTCCTCCTGTGTAGTTCCGTTATTGCAAATTATCTGACCAATTGGCCCGCTCGTTTTATCATTTGTGGTCCGGTGTCCTTCTGGACCAGTAATGATCAGCGAATTCGATGGTTGTTGCGGAGAAAAGCTCACTATAAAATAGTCTTAGATTCGAAACGGCCCGTGCAAAAGACCCCGGTATCCACGACCAGCAATGACAAATCGGCAATACTCGCGGTCCTGGGAGAACGGGGGCTGGACACGCCCACCACCATACTCCATATTCGTCCTTGTTTGCTCTGTTAAAGGTGCTCCTGGCTTAGGCATGCAACAAGCTCAGTATGCAGGGCCCTGGTTTCATGCTAAAGACGTGGGCGCAAAAGTAACCTGAACATTGTCGGATGGAGTTCGCAGTCCCGACACTAAGCAGCTGAACAGCCGTATTCGCCTAGCGTACGGAAAGATCCCCGACGGCCGTGTCCGGCTTTTGCGGTCAATGGCCCTTGGACCAAGCTCAATAATTGTCCCGGGGGTTCATGGGCGACATCTATCACCACACCCTTCCAGGAATAGTGCTCTGTATATGGTCGATAGTTGAAAAACAACGGTGAGCGTCCAGATCTGGACTCCACTATACAGTCTTCTAGCCGTTTCTCTACGAATCTTGCAGCACCATCTTCCTTTTTCCTACTTCTTTTCCGAGCTGCAGGACAGGTCTGTGCCGGGAACGCCGAGGCTCGCAAATCATCAGTATAGACCATTTATTCCTTGCACCGATCAGCTGCTGGAGGCCCATCTAGTTGCATTGCGTGGACGGGCTGCAGAGTATCTAACGATGATAGCGACCACGGATAGCGATCCCAGCAATCTGAACTGCACGGCTTACGGCGTACATGGAATTATATTCTTGCCAATCAACTGGTCGATTATACTCGATCTGCGCTTTTATTCCCTGTTCTTTCCTGGCTTGTCGCTGCTCACTCGTTGGAACCTGGCTCACGGAGTCGAACATCTCACCCGATGATGGTTCCTGCTGGGCTTCCAGATCATCGCGCATTTAAAAATTAAATCCTTCGGCAGCAGATCGCCCTAGTTCCCCGGGAAGTGGGTAATAATTGGGCGCCTTGGTAAACACAGTTCACGCCTTTTACTAGGCACTTAGCAAGCGATTCGTTGCATATACGGGATCCTATTCCGTTATTGGCCATCGCAAGGAAGATAGTCCCTCCTTAAGATACTGCTTACCACTTCGACGAATACGAGATGCCCACGGCATACCAGGGTCAGTCTTTTATTGCTTTGGCCAATGATTTTTCGCAGGGCCGTCATACTGCGTCGTCTGCAGAACCCAAAGGGACCCATAACAGAAGTGGCTCGTCTACTGGAACCTTACTAGTAATTGCGATGGTCGCGCAAAGTTCCGGACAGTGTACAGACCAACACACTGGGCACTAGCAAAACCTACGCTTCTTTTGTTAAATACGGGAAAATTGGGATATCGGAGAAACTCATGCTGGAGTAAAGATTTCTAAGATTCGGGGATATACACGGCCGGATCCTGTCAGGGACGCAGTGTTGCTGCATGTCTGAATTTTTCACAATGCCACACACATACGCAGTGGGCACGCACAGGCTCTCACAAAAGCATCGACCAACCCGTTTCCCCAGATCCATTTCTTTTCTTGCACGGCCACAGGCAACTATAGAGTGCCAATAAACACTTGGTATTTTACTGCTTGGCTTAGGGTTAGTACCACGCTCCTGGCCATTCTTCCTCCATCTGGGGTGGTCATCAGACACGCTTACTTCACGTTTCTACAGGGTCACTACTCCAGTTGCTTGCCTTGCCGCTACTTGCGCGCCGGTGTGAGTCGTGCTACGATCTGGTTGGGCAGAGGTGGGCAGTCCCCTTTTCTTTTTCCTCCTTCGTCTTGACTACCTTTTTCCGTGCTTCGGGACCCTCCTCAGACAATTGCTTTGTGGTCTGCCTTTGAGAATCATCAAAGAGAGCTAACATATGCATATCACCTCAGCCAGCTACTTCGGTAGGTTGGAACAACCGCCCACGTCAGGTCATGTTATTTGCACCTTTGGCCTTAAAGGAAGCATCTTAAAACCTACCGCACACAGTTAACCTGTGAACTCTGGAAAATCTTTGGCGCTGGGTATACCGTTACGTAGTACATGGCCAATTTGTCCCAGCGGGCTTCTGACCCCTGTCGATTGTTCTTCCCATATCGGGCCTCATTCCACCTTTTCTTCTAAGTTGACCAAACCTTGCTTGACCATTTTGGCGTTCCCTATTGTGGATGCCTAGCCCGCGAACACAACGGGAGATCAGCTTTTGGCCCTTTACAGCGAGAGCAAGTCCTAGAAGAAAGAAAAAATTGTACGGACCCCCAAACGTCCGCACAAATTGCATAGATGTCTCGAACCCCGCTACCGCAATGGATGTATCCCGCATCCAGTGGTCAACCGTCGGATGCAAGATCCTACGCCGCTGGTGACGATCACCAGATGTTGACGATGCCAAATCGATTCCACACTCTGGAAGATCCCCCACGCTTCCTCTATCCTGACAATCAGGGCTACGCTCCGACTTATGTGCATCCTGCATCAAACTCCAGGGCTCCTTATCACGGCAGAACTTGGGACAGCTTCGCAGACCCCAAATTTAACCCTTCGCCAATACCGGTTGCCAATCATAGTGTCTATCCTCAGTATGGGGCCCAAAGGTCAAATGCCATGAGAGGCGCGGAGTATGCCTCTGCTTCAGCCTCTGTCTCTAGCCCTTATCAGGATTCCCCCAGTTACAGTCGCGGTTCTATTGGTTCTATTTCCGGGACGCGGACAAATGATGTGGAGTCTCAGTATAAACCCCTTTCTTTCTTCAAAAAAAGGCCCTAGTCTTATCTGCCTGGAGTTATGATACCATCATCGTGGTCAAATGTGCATACTCCCGCTATTTCGCCTCGAGCTGTGGTGCTTCGTAACTCCCTTGGGAACTATTATGCTAATAGGATTTATACAGGTACAGTAGCAGCTCGGCGACCTTTCCAAGCCCCGTTCACTCAGAGGAGAGCTCAGCAATGTATCCTGCGCTCGCACCACCCATAAAACCCCAGGCACAACAGCATCAGCGGCACACCACGTCCAGCATGCCTTCTGGGTTTGAAAGGTTGCTTCACCATTCTCCAACTCCATCACCTCCGCCACGAAGAACCTCCACGACATCACGGCATCACCTCTTCATTCGACAACAGCCCCTCGCAGCCCGGGCTTGTGGTGCCGGAGACCGAGACCGCCGCCCTGTAGACCCACCTCCAATTCTACAGCTGCTATTAACGGACTTTGACTCCAGCACATCAGATGATATCGATATCCTCCAAGACCCGCGCTTTACCGTTGGCTGCTTCCTGGTTCCCGAAACGCGAGGATCGATTTCGTCCGACATGGATGGTGATAGTGCCCTTCGAGAGGATCGTCTCGGAACTGCTCCCGGCCAATCTACACCATTGCTTTCGGGCAAAGCATTTGTCTCGCCTTTCTTTGTCGATGAAGACCCTGATCCAACAACTGCCCCAAATCATCCATCAACATTTGATTTTCACCTACCGGAACGATGAGTTCAACTTGCTCCATCAACCTCCAAGGGAGCCCAACAGCCCGCAGCATTCTTCATATTCTCCGATCTCTCCGTACGTACAGCTGGACTGTACCGCTTACAGTTCCGGCTTATGAATTGGGGCCTCGTTGAGGACACAGGTCAATCGATGCCCGTCCTTGCTGAAGTATGGTCTGATCCGTTTCGCGTGTACCCTGCCAAAGACTTTCCCGGAATGCGAGACTCATCACGTCTCACAGAGGGTCTTAAGGAATTAGGATTCGTCGAACTCAAGACCAGGGGAAAGGGGAAAGGCAAGGGTCGACGGAGGTGACATGTCAGCGAGGTTGAATAGGGTACGGATCAATGAGTGAACGCAGCGCTGGTCGGGAATCTTACGGATTGGTTTGATCTGCTTCTTGTCCCTTCTTTTCTTTTCTTCTCCCCTCCAGTGTTCTTTCCTCTCTCTCCCCTCGCCCGCTTGCATATCATTATCTCTTTTTCTTCCATGATATCTTCACTCGAATATGGCTTCTGGAAAGATGGCTATGAAAGGTTATATATGATACTGTTACTAGGTTATATTGATGAGATATGGAGTTTGGATAGGGCACTCAGGTGAAAGAGATGCAGGCTGTTAGTTGATATCTATGTTGATGCAAGGATTAGACAGGAAACTATACATGTCACCAGTCATTGCTGCAAAGAGATACAAAGGTCAATACATAGTATTAGTATATATAAAGACGTCCAAATGTTGCATATGCCCCATCTCTCCCCTACTAGTGATTGTAGTTGGCTAGATTCTGGATTCGTAATACTAGTATTATAGATTGCTATCATCTAAACCGGTAGTAAAGTTTTGAACTTCGATTGAAACATCGGCAACACGATGTAATCATGGTAATACTACGTGATTTCTATCTTCACTACTAGTAGTTGCCACGCTCTTTGTACGCCATGTCTACTAGTGCTAATACTATCAAGTTGTGGAAATTGGTAGTAATCGTACGATCATACAGATCCTGTAGTGCTTGGACATTCAACCACAGCTAGTAAGATGTTCAAATATATAATCACCAAAAGTGTACATCATTCAATCTCGATATCTAATTACAGTAGCTGGGCAGCACACTAAATTGTAGAAACGACAATAACCACAATAAAGCACCATTGCACTTCTCATTGGTGCTGAAATAGAAATTTAAATGGCAATATAGAAGGTGCAAGGCGACGACGTAATGAAGGCGAAGTTGGGTTAACTGTACAGTTCGCCGGGCGGAGTTCAAAGTCGAGTGCTCGCCGTGGCTCCGCAGGGAAATTCTCATGGTTCGTTCCTGGCCCGCCGGTTCAATGGTTTTTACTGCAATCGGTAATGATGGTTGTTGTAACGAGTTAGTTGTTTGATATGGCTCAGAGGGATGAGTCTCTGGTTGTATGAAAAGGAGCTTATAGCTACGAAACATAAGAGAGGTGGTGGTTGCACAGCTCTCCTAGGACCCATCGTTCAAGTAATAGATCTACCACAGTGCTCATGACGTCCCCGTGGGGGCTTTGCACGCCAAAAAAAAAAAAAAAGATCCCCTTCCAGCTTGTTTCAACATTGTCCATTCAATGCGATAATAATGTACACTCGCCGCCTTTTTCCCGCTTTCCGGTTTATATCAGAACAGTCTTAAGAGATATATGACGGAGAAAAGAAAAGAGATAGGATAAAAACACACAGACAATACATGACGGAATAGAGAAAAAAAGGGTGGTGCGAGACAAAACTCCAGCATGATGAGATGCAGTCCAATCACAACGTCCAGACCATCCACAGGTAGCCTCTCCCTCTTCCCTTTCCCCCCTCTCCGCTCATCCGCTCAGAACGGAGAGAGGGGTTGTGGAAAGATGAAAGCTTAGGGTGACCCGGTGGCATTAAAAAAAGTCCCCGAAAGCAGAGAGTAGTATATAGGTCCCAGTTTAGTCCATAGTGGCCTTGGCGCCCACGGCCTTGAGGGTCTCCACGATCTTCTCGGCCTCCTCCTTGGGCACAGACTCCTTCAGGACCTTGGGAACGGACTCGACGAACTTCTTGCTGTCGACCAGGGACAGGCCGAGGAGGGTCTTGATCTCCTTGATGACCTTGGCCTTGGAGGAGGCGTCAACGGACTCGAGCTTCAGGTTGAACAGGGTCTTCTCCTGCTGGGCGGGAGCAGCCTCCTCTTCCTCAGCAGCGGCGGGAGCGGCGGGAGCAGCGCCCATGGCGAAACCGCCAACGGGGAGGTCGGGGATGTTCAGGCGGGTCTAGAATGACAACGTACATGTCAGTAGCGAGTTCAATGTGATTCGATGAGTGTCAATCCACCACGCTCGATGGGATACAGCCTGAAATGGGCACGATGCGGAGTTTGCGACACAGGTCCGGGGGAGCAAAACAACGCACCTTCAGGGTGGAGACGAGGTCGGCTGTCTCCAACAGGGTCAATTGGCTGATCTGGTCGACAATCTGGGTGATCTTGGGGTTGGCAGGAGCAGCAGCAGCCTCCGCCTCAGTGGATTGCCATCTCCGGCTGAGTGTGCGCTGGGACAGGTATGTCGTGGGAGCAAGGCGCAGAGAAGCGGTAGGGCGGACGATCTGTCTGCAGCAGCGAGCTGCGGCCTGGGCGGAAACGGACATGATGGACGGGAGGTGAAGGCGAACGGAACGGAAACAGGGAGAGACGTAGGACCGTGAGGGGAGGGTGACCAAGGAATTGAAGCTGCTCAAGATATCGAATTGCTCGAGGAAGGCCTTTGCGGGAAAAGAAAGTCGAGCGTCGGCCCGGAAAATCCAGTCACATCACGTGATATTACTGACCGCCCGCCTATCAGTGCTGCTGCTTATACAAGTATACGCTCTTGCTATGATGATCATTGTTATGGAAGATCTACACATAGTTACATTCAACTACTGCCAATTCATAATCGAATTTGGCTTATCCTAGTTGGTCCAAAGTATCCACATGAGCAATATTACTACCACTACTATCACAAAAAGCATTATACACTCCCGGACATGCCGGGTTAGTTGATGTTCATGATTATCGTGTCTATATCACATTTTGAGTTTTAGACCACATTGATTATACCGCTCTCCAACGCCTCAAATTTAGTCCTCATCCCAGTTGGGGTTGGGACCCGGGGGCTTGGGTCCACCCGCCTGTCGAGCAACGATGATCTGGTCGACACTGAGGACTGTCCGGGCGGACTCACTCGCGAGTCTAATGGCCCAGCTCTTAGATGCCAGCAAGTCCAGAATACCTTCATCCACAGTATCCAGAGTGCCAGTCGAAGAAGGTCCCACCTCCAGATCGACACCAGTAGTCCAGTAAGGCTCCTCCTCGGAACTGCCCTCTTCCTCCGACTCCTCTGACGATTCGCCGTTGGCACTCGTGTGGTGGTGGGCAGTGTAGAGACGAGAGAGAACCTCAGTAGCGTCCAAGCCAGCGGACTCCGCCAGAGTACGAGGGATCACCTCGAAAGCTTCAGCGTACTTGCGGATAGCGTGCTGGGGCAATCCGGGGGTGCGATCGGCGAACGCAGAGATCTTCTCCACAAGCTGAATCTCGGTAGCACCGGCGCCAGGAACCAGACGGGGGTCCTTGGTGATGGCCTTGACGGCGTTGACACCGTCGTCAATGGCACGCTCGACGTCATCCAGGTGGTTCTGGGTGGCACCGCGCAGGACGATGGTAGATGTGCGAGTAACAGCGTTGGAATCTTCTTGACGGAAAACGGTGACACGGTCTCCACCAATCTCAGTGGTCTCGACGATGTCGATAGAACCCATCTCATCGGGCATAGGAGCACCCAGACGAGCGAGAGGAGTAGCACCGACCACGCGGCAGAGACGGCGCAGCTCGAACTTGGACAAAATCTTGATGACCAGAATGTTGAAACGGTTCAGGTAGTGCATGGCGAGATCACCGATCGTGGAACCGCAAACAAGGACACGAAGGCCGGAGTCGTACAGCTCCTTGATGGCCGCCTCCAGACGTTCCTCCTCACCCTTCGAGAAGTCCAACATCTCCTGCGCGTTCTTCAGGAGCACAGTACCCTTGGTCTCGGTCTGAGAGATGTCAATGGGGCAGCTGAAGACACCGACCTTGGCCTTCTGTGCCTTCTTGACCACACCATCGGGCTCACGACCAAGGACCATACCCTTGACAACACGGGACTGTTCCAAGCTACCACCCATGATCTTCACAACGCGGACGTTATCGACGTTAAAGTTGACGGGGTTCTTGGGGAGGACGGCGAGGACGGCCTCGGCAACCAAGGAGGCCAGGATGTCTTCGGTTCCGGACTGCTTGCTGGCGACAACGGTGCGGAGAGCCTTGCTCAGTTCAGTCTGAGAGCGAAGATCCTGCAGGCGATCAACCTCGAGGCCTAGAGATGAACCCATTCGTTAGCAAGTGCGGGAGAAGCGATCAGGATAGCCAGTGGACCGGTAGCCCCTGAACGAAGTATAGAACGCATAACCCGAAAACAACTCACCTTCCAACACCTGAAGAGCGAAGTTCTGAGCCTTCTCATAACCCTGCGTGATATCACTTGTCTTCAAACCCATCCGCAACAATTCCTCGGCCTTCTTCAGCAACTCTCCCGCCAGGATGATGACCATGTTGGTGCCGTCACCCATCTCCGCATCCTGCTGTTGACTGGCCATCACGAGCAACTTGGCAGCGGGGTGCACAACGTCCAACTCGCGCAGAATCGTAGCGGCATCGGAGGTGAGGATCATCTTCTGCAGGTGGTTAATCACGATCTTGTTGCGACCGTACGGGCCCAGCGACGTGAGCACGGTCTGAGCGATAGCCTGGCAGGCTTCGATGTTGCGGATGACCGCACCGTCTTCGGCATCATGACTATGAAGGACGAGATGTTAGTCAATGATTCGGATCATCGCCGGATTGTCATGGATTGGCGGTGCCTGATATGAAACTCCCGCCATGCTCGAGGGACCTGAGGGGCGGGACATTCCACCACGGGGGGATTTGCTTCGCTCACCTCTGATACCCAGGCTTGAAGAGACCAGCCTGGGAGGGACCAGGCATAGACAACGACATGATGACAAAATCCTTCCACTAAAGTTCCGGGAAGAATTAAGAAAAGTAGTAATGGGGGACACTGCCACGACGCTGTCCTGAAGCTGTTCTGGGAATTTTCGACGGAGCTTCGAGACGGTCTGGCGGCGGTTGTTTGTTTGGTTTGCACCCGGAGGGGCTCTCTTTCTTTTGTTCTGCTTAGAGAGCAAACCATCACAACAACACATTACTTCTGTGCTTAGGAGATATGATGTTTCTTCCTCATTTCTTCCTCATATCATGCTGATCTACTAATATACTGTCTGTGGCGTTCTAACCCATGACTATAAACTGATCATCCGGATCTGCCCCGGTCTCATACACAATCACATACCCTCCCCCGCGCTCGCAATTAGGCTTCAATGTCTTTTGCTTCATACAGGGTATCTCTCGCTATTAAGTTCAACAAGCGGACCAGAGAGAAAGCAAGCAGAGATGCAGTGAGGGTATCGATCAATATTCTCCGGGGCAGTGATGAACATCATGCAGGGCGCATACTCCCCAGCCTCTCGAATTTGTGCTCTCTTATAAGTGAGCGCGGAATCATTCTCCAGTTGCCCTCTTCTCGATTAAGACCCCCCTTCAGTGAGGCTTTGTCAGGCACATCATACAACCTTCCGCCTTTCTGTATCTGAATATTTGTATTTTGGACCCACAGCACAATCATGAAGGCTATGAAAGCCATACATAGTGTAACAATTTCTACTTTGATCTCTACCCTCAGCTCTGTCAACGGGACACCAGAAGAACATGACATTGACTGATGCTCTCTCTAACATTTGCGGTGGCCTCCAATCAGTGCAATCATCTAACTTGACATACCTGGCGCATAGTGAATCCCCTATGCCATTACCGCATTGCGAACCCCCCTTCATACCTTTCCCCCATACTTCTACTGCACCTCGAATGACAGGATGAACATAGCTGAGCTGAACTCCGTGGACATTATTCCTATCCACTAGTAGCCTACCAAGTGGATAAAGCCCATTTACTCGAATGTAAACAAGCCCTGTCAACCATAATAATGATGCACATCACTCCGAATATAAACCACCCCCCTCCCCTTATACTCCGTACTCAAAAGATCTCAACGCCCTATTGCGCCTTTCAACTTCAATCTCAATCTCAATTATTAGAATCCAAAATGCACCTCTCACTCAACTTATTCCCTCTACTCACCCTACTATTATGCATCCTCATCCCCGCCCAAGCAAGCCCCCATGCCACCACCATCCAATCCGACCACAACAATCTTCTAGACTGGGTTCAGAACACCAACAACCGCCTCAGCAACTTCGATGGTAGCATTTCGAAGGGATTCCCTCTACTTCAAACAGCATATGAGATGTACCAGCTCACCAAGAACCTTGAAACCCATACGCAAAACACCCCAGCGTTCGACGACGAGGATAGCGCTACCCTATACAATGGAACAGTCGAGTTCCGAACGGCTGCTTCGGATCTTGTGAATCGGTTTGCTACTAAAGTGCGTATACTAGTCTACTACCTTTCACCTTTTCTTCCTTTCATTTATGTATATATATATATATATATCACACAGAAACCCGGATTGTGACGAGACTTACATTGTGAAATTGATGTTGTTTTAGGTCCCTCACTTTCGCAACATGAATGCATTGCCTGTGGCTCGCAAGCTCCTCCAATACGTTCAACAGAAAAATGCGGCCACTGTGGATAATATGGCTTCGAAGGTGACGGAGCCTCATCGAGAGCCGTTTAAAGATGCAGCAGGTGATATTGATGATTATTATTCTGCGGCTTTTCGTACGATGGATGCAGCGAATGGGGACACTTCTGGGAATTGATGGGTAGCTTAGCTTAGCTTGCATGGGAGAAATGCAATCCTTTTGACAGCTTTGGCAAGGAATGTAATGTTTAATGTGGAATTTTTGAAAAGAATGCTAGTCTCAAATGTTGACGTTTAAATTGGAATGAACGAGATTAAATTACGTACACTGTCTCTTTTCGATGTTGAAAGACATGCCTTGCTGTATCCGCTAGTTCAGGTTTACTCCGCTAGCCCCTTAAGTTTCTCCCTCACACGATCGATAATCAACTGCGAAAAGCCCCTCACTGTCTCTACTGATGAGATCTCCATATGTTTCACCTCGACATTTAACCGATTGCGGGCCCAGGCTCGGAGTTCAATCGCAACCAGGGAATCAATGGGAATGAGCGATAGATTCGTCAAATCCGGTACACCGCTGCGTTTGAGATCCATGGGCATGAGTGAGGTGCCTATCTTTCGAATAATAAACTCCACTGCTTCTGGCTGATCGAGCATCGCGGGACTGGTGTGGATCTTGGAAATGAAGTCGGTTAGTCCCTCATCTGACGTTTCATCCTTGGTCTTGGTTGTGGAGTCCATATTTTTGATAATCGAGCAGCTGCCGAACATGCCGTGGAGGGAGGGGTTGTTATAGATTGCTCCAAGGGAAAGGTGGTGTGGATCTTGAACTGCGGAGTTCTGGAGCAGCGCAGGGTCTTTACTGTGTTTGATGAGGAGATGCACGACGTTTAGCAGATCCTGCTCGCGCACATAGCGTACGCCCAGGCTGTCGAAGTATCGCTGCAGTTTGGGTTGTCGGCTCACATAGCCAATCTCAGCAGTCGGTCCTAGGTCAAGAACTGATGCAGGTTGTCCCAGGCTGTGTCGATACTTGGCTAATCCTACAAGGAACGTGTTTGCTGCGGCATAGTTCGCTTGGGATGGTGATCCGTGTATGCTTGCATTGGAGCCAAACATGATGACAAAGTCCAGAGGGGTGCTACTCAGTGCTTGGTGGAGGTTCCATGTACCGTGAAACTTGGGAGCTAGAGGGCATTGCCAGTCCTCGTAGGACATTTCGTGCAGTACTGAGTCCTGTGGTATTTAGTTAGCTTGAGAGAAAAAGAGAGAGATAGACGGGCAGGGAACTGCTGTGACGCTTTACCTTCAATGCCAGTGCAAGCTGGATCACGCCGCCGATTTTTCGAGGGCTTTGGGAGATAGCTCTATTCACATCGTCGGGATTTGCTACGTTTCCTTGTTTCCTTGCACCGCAACAGGCTGGCATCCCATACATCTGAGCTCCTCGAAAAACCCCTTATGGGCTTCTGTAGTTCCCGAGTTAGGTGATAGGAACACAAGATATCGTGCACCGTTACCAGCCATCTATCTTGCAATGGTCTGACCCAACCCTCCGAGGCCACCAGATAATAGATAAGCTCTCTCTGACGAGAATTCGGGGGTTGCGAGGCTTGTGGCGGTAGGCAGATTCGCAGGATCCTCAGGAATCCTAATGACAATCTTCCCAATATGTTTGCCACTTTGCAAATGGCGAAACGCGCTGGGGGCATCTGCAGCGTCAAAGCAGGTGATGCGATTTGTATGCACGACTTCGCGATCGAGGAAGTCTGCATATGACACAACTATTTCGGTTCTGGAAACAATCTTAATTAGAATGGGACATTCAATGACACGACGGCAGGTGGGTCATACGCTGACGTGGCTCCCTTGCCTTGCTCGAGGTTGCTTTGCATGACTTGAAGTAAATCTGTGGTGTAGAACGATCGTGCTTGGTCGAAAGAGCTCATGGGCAAGATGGCATGGCCCAGGACGTCCCTCTTCCCAATATCGAACATCTTTCCTCCTGGAGCAACACACTTCCATGAGGCATGCAGGAGCTTGCCTGGGAGCGCACTCAAGACTATATCCACTCCGTGATTATTGGTCTCTCGCATAAGGTCACGGTAAAGTGAGGTATCGCGGGAGTAGAAAATGCGGGAGCGAGGAGTTTGGCACTCATTGACAAGGTATTGCACCTTCTCTTCGCTGCCCACTGTTGTCAAGAACGCTATGCGAGATTTCTCGTGCATGCCCAGCCTCCTGACAGATTTTGCTGCTTACTTATCCTTAGGATAAGTTCTCCGCTACGCAACGGAATATCATTGCTAATGCATCTCCTTCGAAAGGTTGTGTTATGGATCCCCGCGATCGGTAGGTAGTATAACTAGCCCTTCCGTCCAAATCATACTTTCGCATTTCCTCTTTGACTCATAGAGCAGTCTCGATAGTATGCTGTGTGGTAGCATTGATTACAACTCTACGAATGCGGTCAGAAGTAGCTGAGGGGATCATCTTGATACGATAATACTACAGCAGCAGCCCAGGAAGTGGCCCTACAATTAATAGTGACAGTGTATTATCTCATCTTTCAGAAGGAAAGGAAACTATGCTATAACCAGCAAGTTGACTCGAATAATTCAAGCTATCTGAAGCTAGTTCTATAAGGGAATCGGCCATGGTATAGATCAGATATCAAATGCCCTTCAATTAAATAGTCAACCGTTATAAGCCCGGTCGATATATGCTCTCTGTCTATAGGGTATTGCTCTGACGTGATAAATCCGTTGTTAGACGTCGCATGTGATACCAATTTGTATCCTGGAAGATCCGGAATTATGATCCACACTTCAATGGGGACTGGTATCAACAGAACTGTAAAGTGGTTGTGGAGTGCCCCTTCAACTCTTATCTCCACGCTCAGCACGTCATCGGGGATACTCCCGAGTTCCCATGCCTCCCAGGCCTAGACACCCCGTTGTTTATGATTGTCCTTCACTTCAATGGATAGGAGACCCATCAATGAGACATCTTCGTCAAGGTGGTATCCTTCTGTCGACGCTGCGGGTAAGGGCAGGTCTTGATTATCGGGAAACCTTTCGAAATTGTAGCGTGTATCAGAAATTTCGCAAGAAAGTTTGAGTTGGCTTGTTTGTTGTCAGGCTTCGAAGACAACTCCTACTATTTCAGTATAGAGCTAGGGCATAGGAATTGCAGCACGAAACAAATGTCAAAAACACCTTGCAGGTACGACGGCAGATACGTTTCCTAAAGTCACGAGGATAGGCTAAGAGCTTGCAGAGCCCATCTGATTATCAACGCAATTCCTTTTAGCTCATAAATAAGTAAGCGACACGGTAAGAATGACTTCTACGTCCCGAAGGTGCCGAAGCGAACAGATATCAAGAGTACGACGAGAGACGTAGCAGGCTCCCCAAGTCCTTATGGCTGTACCGGCCCAATCCTTTACCTGACTGGCTTTCTTGGAGATAGCGGCTCATTCTCGCCTCGGGAATGAGCTGGACGATGAGGTAGCTCCTCCTTCTTCTAAAGCCCATTATTGGAGGTAACGAGGGAAATAAACTTGTATCCCGGATGATCCGTGAGCATGGTCCACACTTCAATTGGCACAGTTAATAACACGACGGTCGAGTGGCTGTGAAAAGATCCTTCCACTTTAATATCAACGCTCAGCACGTCATCAGGAATCTTCCTGAATAGCCAGGCCTCCCAGGTCTTGACATCCCCATATTTAGAATTGTCCTTCACATAAATGGATAGAAGAACCTGATTGGGAAATGAAGAGGTTTTGGGAGTATATTACTGCTCTTAAATGGCTTCAATGTGATGCTTGGATGATCGCGTCAAGGAGAATGCATCAATTATACTGGCATTTGACTTTTAGACGCATTTCAATATAGAAGGGCATAAAGCGAAGCATGAGCAGGCGAACCTCTTTATTGTGATCGCTCCCCATTTTTGCAAGGGTATAACCAATTCTTCGCAATTATACCCATAGATTCAATTGAGAAAGTCTAACAGCTCTGTCTTTGAGCCTGCAATACTGTCTCCATCTACTTTCCGAGGTATTGCAAGAGCCGCAATATTATAATAATCACCATCGGAGGCACGCAATTGGTTAACGGCTGTCTGAAGGTTCGTCGCTAGGTCTTGCAGACTGTGTCCGTTTGGTTTGTTCAAACATGATTGTATAGGCCTGGAGTCACTCATGGTGTACATTCTCTCCTGTAAGGCTTCGGCATCGTTAATATCTTCATCAATGAGATGCCCTCCTACCAGAACCAACCCTTCATCGCGTACGGCGGTGTTTGGTCGTTCTTTAAGACTTTCGTAGATGAATTAAGTTCGAGTCTGGTTGTTCAACATCCGGAGTTCGAGGCATAATGAAAGAACTATAAGAGTCTGTCAAAGCTCTACCAAGTAGACCAAAACGATATATCGCGACTGCTGAGAGCAGCGGAGAGATATGTCCCAGACAAAATCCCTTCTATATAATTGGGGTCGGTGATTGTAGGGAAGATGTAAGGCTTCAAGTTGAAGAGGAGAGACAGAGGCAGATATATATAAGCAACCAAGGCCATGGTGAAGTAGTATATTCCCTATCATGAAGATATTTAATTTCTTCCAAAGTGATAATCCGTCACTATTCATCAATTATTGGCAATTAAATTGGTAAGCTTAGCGTCACAATATGGACTATTAAATTCGGAGGTTCGCATTCACGAAGCTTCAGGCTATAGACATATAATCGAATGAAATTAAATCTGTGTGAATTGGTGGCACTTATAATATCATGTTAAATCTCTTCAAAAGTAAGCGATATATTGCTGGCCGCTCGAAGCAGATGGGAAGATACCTAAGTCGTTCTCAACATAAGTAGATATTCTTGGGCGCTAGCCTGTGTTGGGTATGGTTCAGGCCTCTGGGCCTAAAGGCCACAGTATCTTGGCACAATAACCACGCACCCTCATGTTATTTCTCTCTCACCATACTTACTCCGCACGCCTCTCCAACATTTCCACAGAATAACTGACTGACCTCTCACCCTCCGCACCACCCAACAAGCGCCCCATAACATCATTTCAAGCACTATTCAAACTACGACAACTCAACACTCTCACACTCCTCCAACGGCCTCAGATTAAACGCCTTATACCCGCCCTGCCAACTCAACCCGACTCTTTCCCGCGCATACTGCCTCATCTCCTCCTCATACCTCGCAACAACATCCCCTCCACCCTCGACAATCCTCTCAACCAGCACCGCCGCATCCCTCAACGCCGTATTCACCCCCTGCCCACCCGTCGGCGGCATAACATGAACCGCATCCCCAAGCAGCGTGACCCTCGAATCCGTCTCCCAAGCCGGCAAATCCGGCCTCACAGACGCCATCCTCAGCGTTGAAGTCTGCTCAACATCCTGCTCCTCCAGCAAAACCCTCACCGACGGATGCCACTCCCTCGACAACTCCAGCGACAACCTCGCCGACTCCTCCCCACTCAACCTGAGGACCTTCTCATCCTCCATACCCACAAAATCCCGATGAACAAGCAACACCCAATACAAATAATCCTCCGGCAACTTAATCCCCCCTCCAACATCACCCTGCGGCATCCTCATCGGCTCAAACAACAACGTCTTCGGCGCCTCCTCCCTCAAATCCTTCGCCAGCGACATCCCCCTCCTCGCCAACTCATTCAACCTCCCCTCCACATCCCCCGTGATCCCCGTCTTCCCATAAATCATCCTCATCCCCGTATCCACAAACGGATACCACGGCACCAACTGCCTTCTAACTCGCGACCTCGCTCCATCCGCACCAATGAGCAATCCTCCCGTCGCGGAACTCCCATCCGCAAAATGCGCAACTACACAGTCATCCCTCACTTCATACCGCTCGAACCGCTTCCCGAACTGCACATTCTCCTCCCCAAGACCCTGCAGAAGGACCTCGCGCATCGTCCCCCGATCCACAGTGTACGGTCTGGCTCCGTGGATCCCGAGCGGTGGTCCACCGCTACCAGCGGGGAGGGGCGCCCCGGTCAGTGCGTCGAGTCGGACACCTACGCCTGGGAGACCGTCGTCCAGGGCAGCGGTTTTCTCGAACAAGGACCATATTTCGGGGACGAGGAGGGTGTGGAGGTTCTCTTGCATGACGCGTAGTCTGTAGCCTTGGGCGCGGAAGTCTTGCTTTGCGTCTCGTTCGAAGACGGTGAATGGGATGTTGTGCTTGCGGAGGCCTTGAGCGAGGGCGAGGCCGCCCAGGCCGCCGCCGGCGATTAGGACGCGGTTGGTCATGGTTTGGGGGGTTTCGGGTGAGTTTATTATAGATGTAGATGTAGATATAAATGAGTAGACATGTAGATGATAGATAAAGTTGAGTATTGTATGGCTGGTCTATAGGTAGGTAGATACATGAGGATCTATATACAGTAGGCATGGTTTAGCGTCGGTGGTTCATTGCGCCCGACTCGCCGATCAAGCGTAGACGGCGCTGTGGCTCCGATTGACCGTCTTACAGGGGTGAGGTATCAGGATCTCGTTAGTCCGTTTAGAAGCTAGTGTTTGATACATGGCATGACTCAAAGCTAAAGAGTTCTCATAGAAAGTTGGTGCAAGCAGAGTGGAGTATCCCGAGAGAAATCACCGCGAGACAGGTATATAGATACAAGCTAAATCGCTCATATTACGCTATGCCTTGTGCGGATCCGATCGACAGTATCAGGATGAAAGGATCCAAGGACAGGAATTCATCATAGTATTACAGTTAGTTTACCCCGAGGGAATTTCAGAAGAAGTATTCGCCGTCAGAGCTATCATCAGGCTGGATTTGTATATGGTGGCCTCTGCCATGGTGACCACCTCTCGGGTGATGGCCTCTGATAGGGGGGGCTCTCTCCTGGGGACCTGCGTAGTGGTCGATTGCGTCGGTGAATTTAGGGACTGAATTGGGGATGTTGTTAGTATGTTGTAGCTGCAGTTCGGTGGGTGTTGGCTGGGTGCTCACTGTAGCCTCTGACCATATGGCATCCGCTGTTTTCGTACAGGGATTCGGCTTTGTATAGCCTGTGATTTTGTTAGCTTGGTTGAATAGTGGGTTAGATAGTCTGGTATATTACCTTTCGCTCATTGATTGCATGCGGTTGAAATGCTTTGACGTCGTTAGTTACATCGTCCAGTAGGTTGGGTTATTGGACTATCTCACCGATGGATGTGTTGACATGAACTCAGGCACACGAACTCTTTCACTCTTGTGCATGTGGTTCCAGCTGGGGCTTTTTAGCTTAAAGAACAAGGATATACGCAGATTGAGAAAGTGTATACTTACAAGTCAACTACGGCACGAGGGTTGTAACAAGCCTTGGCCATCAGCACTATCAAGGATTAGTAGGACATTACGAGTGAATGACAAGCATGTCATACTCAGCCCGATGTTGTCTGCCTCAGCCTTGCATACATGTCAGTTGATGTTTATGTAGCCATACGCCGTGAGTCACATACCTCCTGCACTCGCGTGTTCGGCAAATTGACAGTCCAATTCAACATCTGGGACGCGAAATGTCCGAGACTGCCAAGCAGATATACCAGCCCATAGGTCAGAATGACACTAGGAATAGAATGGCTCATCCGTTCAGCCTGGTGATGGGCCAGCACATGAGCGATTTCATGGCCCAGTACCGCCGCAAGACCATCAGCGTTTCCGCAAACCGGCAATATGCCAGTATACACGAATACCTTTCCACTGTAGGATATACCCATCAGCCAAACAATCCCAAGATTGTAGTGTATGCTTTCCAAAAGTAGTCGAATGCCTTACTTCGGAAGGACGAATGCGTTCTGCTCCGACATATCGTTGATAACGTGCACCTCCCATTTCGTATCTTGTACGGGTGTATGAGCGATCAGCCGCTCAAAGACTCGGGTTACTTCTTGGGAGATATGATGCCACGGAGGTAGAATCAAGCCTTCAGCCGTGTTCATGATTGCATGATATTCGTGGTCTCCCATCTGTTTCTCGAGGTCGTCGGATACGCAGTTGAATCGAGTGCGGCCCGTCAGCTAAGGACGAAGAACATTAGCTTTGCAAATACAATATGGCTATGAAATATAAGCAACACACCTCCACAGTCTCCAGATTATAGACATAGAAGCTTCCTCCGACGGCAATGAGTACGAGCCAGAACTGCAAATGCTCGCCATCTTGAAGTCTGGGAAACTGCGGTTCTTCGAATCGATTATATTTCGCACGGCTGCGGGCGGACTCAGAGAAATGCCGGGACTGCGATTGACGAGAAAGGAGTCTCGAAGGCAGAAAGGCCGTTGAAGAGGTCCCACGAGTTCTTGACGAAAGATGTCGGATTAGAGGTGTGGAGCGAGGAATGTGAGAGGGGATGCGGGTAGAGTGGAGGAGCGAAGTAGCCGTGGCCGACTGGGGCGATGCGCGGAAGAACGCGCGCACTATCGGGAGACGAAACATAACAGTCTGTTTCGCATGGTATGCGACAGGATATGAAGAAGGAGGAAATTCCGCCCAGATGGCTGGAGGACTGCGAAAACAAAGGCCAGCATTTTTGCGCAGTCGTCGGTGCCCTTAGCTGCATGCGATAGGTAAGCATCGGTCTCCGCGCTGGCCAATGAGCGGTGGGCAATTCCGGAGGCACAGCATGCGGCTGCAGGACAGTGTGAATGAGTGAAGATGATTATAATTATGAACTGAATGAGATGTAGCATTGCAGTAAGAACTTTCAGGACAAAGAGTAGTATGTTATTATTTGTTGTGGTGACATCATCCCATCATTGCAGCACCGAACCGGATCCGAAGTATATACTACGGAGCACTACTACTAACATAACCCTAGGTGTTGTAGTAGTACTAGGACTCAACATGACTGCTTTGATTGTTGACGCTTCACACATTAACTAGTCACGTTGGTAAATAAGATACAAAAGTATACATCTTTGAGCAACAATTGACAGACAATAGCGATAAATTTAGCAACCCTCTCATGCATCACCTGCCCAAGCATCATTTAACCGCCGGAATCTGAAAGAGCCAGAGCCAGCCCTACCCAGAATAAAAAGCCAACTCCAAGCTACTAGCTAACCTCCAGAGTCCATCTGCATGCCATATCTCCAATCCAGTCCAAGTTAATAATAGCATCAACCACAGTTTCCAGGCACCCAAACGCCCTAACATCCAACGGCCGGAACAGCAACCGTAGAATCTCTACAACGAACTCATAGCCAATCGTGACCACCACACTCTCCCAGGAAAAAACACAGCTCTTTCAACATGACACTCTATACAGCCTAACTAGTACCCACCACCAACTCACAACAGTTATTCTTAGCAAAAAGCCCTCCAACCAAGACAACGACCCATCCAGCCGGATCCCCCCAGCGCCTAACACCCAATAAATCCCGCCACAATCTGCCCACTGAATCTATATGGTACATTTCCCGTAGCAAGTCCAATCCAGCCTTACCAGACACATCGACACATCCAATACCAATGAATCATCCCGGCGGCTACATGCAGAGCGTCAAAGTTGTGGATCTGATGAAAAGGATGTTCGGCAAGCGAGGCTGAAGCAATAGCGGCATCAAGATATGCAGGCTATTTCTGGAAACAAAATTAAGACATGAACTATTAATTGATGAAGGTTTATCTCGAGGGATGCTTATCCGGTAGTGTATAGTATGATCTCATGCATGCATCTTTAGATGTTTAGTCTGGAGTGAAGGAAGGAAAGCTATTCTTAGATGACATGTAATGCTTTACCCCTCATTTAGACGCCGGGGAGGGTCGACGGGGACATGGCGGCGGCTACTATGTACATCTGATTTGAGTGGAGGTGTGTGTGATCTGATACTAGGAGAGGTTTTAATTGGAAGATGACTGGGTTTCTATTTTGGGAGTTTACTACTTACTTTCGTCCATGCTACTATCTAGGGTTGGATGGATAGATGGGAGATCTGGATCGGATCCGGGCCGCTGGACGGTAGAACTGTAATGGAGGTGTTCTTTTCTTTTCTTTTCTTTGATTTTAGCTTGTTGATCCACTATATTGTGCTTAGCCGCCGAGTCTACTTTTGGGGATTTGGTTTGCTGGATGATTGGTTACTTTATGTTGGTTTATCTATATTTATGTTGATTGTGAATATGGAACCCCGGTTAAGTTCATCCACGGTGTCATGCTTCGTTGCCAGAAATAGTATCAATTGTATAGAACTGCAAGGGACTGTGGGGGTCTTGTGAGATGGGAGCACATGGCTGTTGGGAGTAGGGAATAGAAGGGAGATGATGCAACGAGGATGATAGTAGTGTTGGGTGTTGTGTGGTTGAAGCAATATGTTCCGTTCATAGCACTCACTCTGAGATTGACTCGCATGCGTAGATAGGGTTAGGCTGCAAATGTTCGATATACTTTCATAATTTGGTTGCTTTACTCCTGCTATTTACTGAAAACTCTACCTACATTTGGTCGATTGTAAATTTATTCTGATATGTGTTCCGGATCCAGTAAGTAGAAAACCTTCTTTCGGACAGCGTGGCCATAGGTTATTCAAGTCTATGCTAGATGTGCAATGTATAGTTTAGCCACTGCATATCGAGGTAAGCGTCTGTCAAGCGAGAACACCAGACGATCATGTTTGCGCTTTATTTGCCTCGCACGGATCAATAGAGCCAGGTCTCTGTTAGTTAGCGAGATCCATCGCCAAGGTAGAACCAAAGCAATGCACAATTTGGCGCCACCACCCAACAAGTCAGCAGCGGCAATGAGGAGCAGACTAAATCTCCCAAATAGGAATCTCTACGAATCCAGGTAGTTTGGCGTCACGCCAAAATTTGAGAAAAGCAAGCATAGCAACAGTCGTGGAACCCCACTTGGAGGGCACAACTAACTCCATCGCACAGAGTGGATTGTTAACGGTGTATAACTGCTTCTCGGAGATATTCGATGAAATGACCATAATTTGCCGACGACACGAAAAGCGCGGTGAGTGGACATACTAACCCAACTGAGAAAGAGAGAGACGTAGCCCAGGTGACTCGGTGTGATAACTGCACAGACTGCATGCCAGGCACGCTGCAAGCACCTGACTTGCCGGGGTTGGGTTGGCTTTGGGACCATGCAGTGATCTGCATCGGGGAAGCACACCAGCCAGAGAATTGGCGCTGTTCGCAAGTTCCTGCGCTTGCGATGCAGTAAATTGCGCACGTAAATTGGCGAGCAGCGGAAAGTACACTCCTAGCGTAAACGTGGCTAGTGAACAGGGGAGATGCATAAATTTGGATGTTAGTAAAGGTATGGTGATGATCTCATAGATTTAGGATAGAGGGGTACAAGCACTACTAGCATCGAGTCGACTTGAGGGATTGCAACGGGGGTGGCACGTCCTTCATTGGCGTGCCGCTCGTAAAAGCCGGCGCCAAGTGATTATACGACTGGGAGCTTTGATTTGTTGAGGGAGACTTTGATGGCCGGGAAAAAGGGACGCTAAACGCTAGTCTGCAGCTGCAGGAATGTGATAAGAAATGGCAGGCGCGCATCGTGATAATCAAGCTAGCACGGGAGTCGGTGGCCGTAACTCGCTTCCGACATCTGCCCACTCGGTCTGTGCTGATCGAGTCTGTCAGATGGAGGTGTGCATCGAATTCACCTCGAGAAAGAGGGTATGAAGCTATCCTGGCTAGCATGGTAAAGATTCATTTTGCCGATAGATTTATCTTCCGCATACCGAGTAATAGACGAACGCTGTTTTGAATCAGCACAATGGGCGCAAAATTCTAGCGACAGCGCACGTTGCCGAATGTGACAAGAAGTGTGACTGGGAAGCATGGTTGCAGAGGCAGCCAAAGTTAAATTCTTAGTGCCCAGTTGATGATTGCTCTCCACTCTTAGTCCCGCTGTCAGATCTTCGCGCGGACCATGGATCATGGGACGGTCCAGGACCGAGTCATGGCCTTGCCTAATTATTCCGACCACAAGCTAATTATGGCCGAGCTGGTTGTGGATAATCCGACAGAAAGAGTGGACGATAAGAATAGTCTCTTCATTTAGCGCTGGAAGTTGAGGGGATTGCTTCTCCTGGGCGGTTAAAATGAACAATAATAACAAAAACCCAATACAGACAGCCAACCACATCCAGTCAAGCAGGGTCTTGGCCTGAATCGCGAGGTTAGCGGCATCTGGTCACATCTTGGCAGAGGGATGTCACTGGTTGGCACTGGTTGCACGGGGCACTTCAGGCCCGACCCACTGCAGCCCGGTTGGCTGCGGGTTTCCCGCTCTGCAAGCAACCATGTCGGGGGCGGCCAATCCCCGGCCAGTAAGGGAAGCTTGGCTCATCCGCACTAAATTAGCTACTGTTTACTACTGTAGGTGCTGGACTGCCACTTGCGACTGAATCCCCCGCATCGCATTTGACTCTCGACGAGCTCACCACCACCCACTTGCCGCCCGGCACACTGATTGGCATCGAAGGCACAAGACCCTTGTTCACCAGACAGGGTTGGAATCCCACTTCCCTCGAGCACCTCCTGCCAGTCCGCATTAGCCGGTTGGGTTGGCAATGTGCCTGGCATTTTGCTCTCCTCCCCCCACTCTCCTCAACGGTTGTACTCTCCTCCCCCATGTAGTCATCCACCACCTCCTCTGTCTCCTCCATCAGCGTACCTACTAAGAAGGTGGATACTGATTATGCATTTTCCAGATCGGGTGAAAGTCACTCCCACTACTAAGTAGTACCACGACCGAGTACATCCATCATGCATTGCTTGCGTGCCTAAGGCCTGCGATTGGCCGACGGGGTTACTTGGTTATCATTCCCACCCCCCGGATTGCGCGACGGGTACCACTTGCTCAGTTACCATTGTCTCTGTAGCCACGAGTGAGGCCTTTCTGCAGCATTGCAGAAACACTGTAGCACCCGAGTGCAGCACTCCGAAGTGGTACTCGAATCCTTGGGTCACCAGGATTGACTGGACGATCGTAGTACAGATGATCCCTCTAGAGGCAGATATCGCGATAGAGGGACCAAAAAAAGAAACAGAGAAGGCCAATGAACCTCAGCCCGTCCACCGATCTGCCCCGTGCGAGATTGGTCTTTGGGCAGGCAATTGCGATAGCTTCCATGCCAATCAATTCCCCAGCCGCACAGTGCTCTCTCCCTGCCGCATCCAATCAGTGGCACGGATAGGCTGCATACGCGCCAGGTTGAAGAGCGCGAGAGCAAAAGTGTAAAATGCGCTCGCAAATCTCCAAAATTAGCCCAGGCTGACTAGCAGTTCCTTGTCCGTGCATGAAGGGATCTCCACTTGCTCTCAGGGATTGCTCTCTTTCCCTCCCCCCGCCGCCAATCCCTCGCCGGCTTTCCCACCACCACAATTTCCCCGATCCTGTTCGACCTGCACTCGGCTGTCGGCCAGGATCTAAAATAGAAACATCATGGTCTGTCTGTCAGAGCTCAACC